GCAAATTGGAAAAGGAATACTTTGAACGTGTAGCTGTTATCAAAATCCGCTTGAGTTCTTGGGCATTCCCAACGAGTTAGGCGATGAGCCAGAGAGTTGTAGAACTAAAAGTATCATTGCCATTAAATAGTTGTGATTGATAGAATTCATGATCGAAAAAAAAGACACAAAACGAACGGGATGCTTTCTCTTTCTCTTACTCTTAAATAAAGATGTGTAAGATGAACACAAAATATCGAACTCACATAATTCATTGTCAAAATGATGCAGAGGTTGATCATAGCAGCAGTGGCAGAAACGATTAGAAACGCGTACGAATCGACTGTTGGATTATCCATCTGTATAAACATTTTTTAGGAAGTTTGAGTAGTTAGAAGAAGCAGACTTACACTGGCCAATAACCGCATGCATATTACACGATACACGACCATACCGAAAACTACAGCTAGTACGAGGCACATCTAGATAGGGATAAATTATAAACAAAATTGCTTTCAAACAGAAATAAGCGCCAAAGCAATACTCACGAAGAACACAACAGTAACCATAGCCGCAAAGAAATTGGCGCATTTCTTTTTACCCGATAAGTAAGGTTCATCTTGTTCGGTAACTGGGTTGTAGCGTTTTGTTTTCACGCGATATTGAAACTCGGGGCGGACTGTATCCTGGAGCGAGAAAGTTATTTGAATGGATGTTTGAAGACATCACAGAAGAGATCAAAGAAACAATCACTGTTCAAGAAAATTGAGACAACAAAACAATCACGAAAAAAACAAACTAACTTCCGCCGCTAGCAGCTAAAAATAAAAATTTTAATCGACATCTAATTAGGGATAAATTCAAAATAACAAAATGTAGTTTTCTGAAGACAATCGGGCCTAATCAATTCACCAAAATTCTTGAATTCTTGAATCAAATCCCGTTTACACCTATGACTGTTAACATATGAAACCACCGTAAAACATTCAACAATTGGAGGTTATCAAAAAGCTTATTGGCACTTAAAATGATGACGTGCACAGAAGTTCCTATTAAGATCTAATTTATTAAAAAAATTAACTCACTTCTTCGACAACAAAATCCATCAAACCCCATTTCCACGCAATCTCTGCATGATACCTCTTCCAGCCTTCAAGGAACAACGTTGCCCATACACTCATTAATGCAGCAAAGATCACCGTGCTTCCATTATCGAAAAGGTACGAAACCTTAAAAAAAACTAGCTATATATGAATTTT